GCCCCCTACCCGCCCGCGCCCACCCCGCCGATGCCTCCCCCTGGCTTCTCTGTGCAGCTTTCGCTCCATCCGCTTGGTGAGGATATGGTGTCTGCAGCCCTGGCCCCCTCCTCATCCTCTTCCCGCGGGGCGTGGGACGGGTCCCTCTCGCATCTGCTCTGCTTTGCGCCTTCACCACAGCCCTGGAGCTGAGATGGGGTCAATGGGGGAATTTGGGGTGACAAATCTGGCTTGGGACAATGGGGATGCACCAGGGGATGGCTGGGACCCAAGTGCATGGCTAAGCCCTAGCCAGAGCCTGCCCAGAGCATGGGCTGGGGGGCACCATCTGCTCTGGGCATGGACCCAAGGTGCCAGGTTCTCCGGTGTCCCCTGGGGCTATCCCCACAGCACCCCACCCTGCTTCAGGACCCCCTGCAGCAGGGGCTCTGCAGCGGGCCAGTGTCCCACATCCCACGACTCGGTCCCACAGGGCGAGAGTATGACAAAGAGGGCAACCTGCGGCCATGGTGGCAGAACTCCTCCCTGGAGGCCTTCAAGAACCGGACAGCGTGCATGACGGAGCAGTATGGCCGCTACACCGTCCACCGCGAGAAAGTCAATGGCCGGCAGACGCTGGGCGAGAACATCGCCGACAACGGTGGGCTCAAGGCAGCCTACAATGTGAGTGCCGCCATCCCGAGGGGACGCAGACCCCCATGCCTGTCTGTCCCTCCCTGGGTCTTCAGGGCGCCTCTCCTGCAGGCGTACAAGTCCTGGCTGCAGAAGAATGGGGAGGAGAAGCGCCTGCCAGCCCTGGGGCTCACCAACCATCAGCTCTTCTTTGTGGGCTTCGCGCAGGTAGGGCAGAGTAGGATGGTGGGTTCCCCACCCCTCCCTGGCCCCTTGGAGCAACTCCACAGCCCCCTGTCTCACCTGGGGGGCTCTACCCCCCATCCTTGAGGTTGCTCCTGCTCCGGCAGGTGTGGTGCTCCGTCCGGACGCCCGAGAGCTCCCACGAAGGGCTGGTGACTGACCCCCACAGCCCTGACAAGTACCGCGTCATCGGCACCCTCAGCAACTCCCGGGACTTTGTCGAACATTTCGGCTGCCCCCTGGGCTCCCCCATGAACCCCGGCAAGCACTGTGAAGTGTGGTAGGGACGGGGAGGGTGCTGGGGACAGAGGGGACGATGCTGTGCTGTGCCCCCCACCCCCAGTCCTCGCAGGCTGCCAGAGCTGGCCCACAGGCAGAGAGCAGGGCCACCCCCTGGGTCACCCTCTGTCACGGTCCCCCCCGTGCACACACCGCACGCTGCCTCGCCCCACCTCTTCCCCCCGCCCCCAGCACACATGGCCCCACATCGCAGCCCCCATCCACAGCCTGGGGCCGGGCACAGCTGGCAGAGAAGCCGTAGCACCCCCAAAACGCAGCGCTGCCTCCCAACCCTGATGCGCTAGAGATGGGCACAGCTCAGTCCCCCCAGTGCCATGTTCCCCCCTGGGCAGGCCAGAGGGGTCCCAGGAAGAGCACTAGAGCCGAGCCCCCCCACTCCTGCCCCCCAACCTGCTGGAGATGGAGGCTGGGGGCCCCCCGGCTCCACTCTTCCCTCGCCCCCTCCCGATCCGGCTTGGCTTCCCCATCCACCTCTGCTGGGACCAGCGGGCAGCAGTGGGGACTCCGGTGCCTTCAGCTGTGGGTGGCTGTCGCTGAATTTATTTAATGATTAAAAGCAGTTTCCACTTACTCTGGCGGCTCCGGGTCCTCCGCGGGGTCAGAGCGGGGAGAGAGGTGGGATCTGGAGAGGGACGTGACTCAAAAGCCGGGGACCACGTGTGGGAGATGAGACCTCCTGAGGGACGGGAGCAGGAGGTGAGAAACCCGAGGGACCAAGGGAGGGGAGCGGGGGGTGAGGCGTCCTGAGGGCGGGGAGCAGACGGGCGGGGAAGGAGGACGAGAGCCGCACCCCAGGCACAAGGGGGCCGTGCTGGCACCCAGCGGGCTGGCTGGGGGACACCGGGGACGGCTGGGGCGACGGGAAGGCAGGAGCGGGGCTGGCCCAGCCCCACAGCCCCGGCCCAGCCCCAGCGGGGGAGGGGGGGCCCCGGTGGGGGCCCGCCGAGG